CTATCTATCTATCTATCTATTAGTGCAGTCAGAGAGAGTGCTACTTCACACAACCAACTGATGATCAGGGGGGAGGGACGGGAAGTTCATCGGGTGCCCCCTGACGCACCTAGAAAACAAAAGATGAAAGCAGGTACGTATTTCCCAACACAAAATCAGTAAGTTAAGCCTTGTAGTTAAGATCAAGTTGATAAAATGATGAAACTACTTTCCTTCCCAAAATTAAACTACATTTTTGAATGGACCTCATCAAAGTGGGGCCAGCCCTATAGACCCAAATGACTGTCATTGACTTTCTGAGTAATGAAGTCGGTCTGTCACGTGTTGGAGTTTCTCCATTGTCTGTTGCTCCTTCAAAACTCATAAGGCTTTTACTGCAAGGTGCAGGCAGTTATGTCTTCAGGAGCACATTGACCATACCTGGTCCAGCTATATACTAGGTTTTGAGATAGTCTTGTTTTTCTGAGGAAAGATAGCTTTTTTTATTGGCCATAAGCTATTAAAAATCTGCTAAAGCTATGCAAGTATCTATACTAACTTACTAACAAATTCTACTGTTACTGTTTTCAGATCGTGAGTCTTACGATGACATCAGTAGTCCTGCAGAACTTCAGCTTTCTAGTGGAGCATCTAAGGATGAAAATGAAAAAGATGGGCATGTCAAAAAATCTAGAAGTCAACTCAAATTTGGGAACAAAACACAACTTAAGGATCACAGTGGAAAAACAGGGGTTGCCAAAACTAAAATCAAACGCCCAGCGTCACCCTATCACGTCTCATCAGTGACAGTCTACCAGAAAGTTGGAGGCAAGGGATTCACAAGTTGCAAGGATGGAGAGGATCAAAAGCTTGAAGAACCTGCCAGTGATGATAACGAAAGTGATTTTTCGTCGTCCGATCTGAGATCCAAGTGGTTCCTCTCCACCAACCAGTGGCAAGGGTTCATACCTTTGCAGATCCCTGGCATGGACTCATTGTGCAGTGAGGAGATATCAGACACTGAGAACCAACCAGTATGCACCGATGATGTGACTGATTCCAATGAAATGTTGTCCACCGTCAGTGAAAGCTTAGAGAAAATGAAAGAGAACCATTCACTCTTCTATAAGATTGCATGTGACATTAGTATTTCAGACACAGACATAACAAAGAATGATGGGAATTCAAATGCTCAAACGTCATCCAGACCAGAAGAAGAAGAAGAGTTGCTAATCACTGAATCTGTGCCAGATGAACCGAATGTTGAGAGATCTTCCAACCAGGAGAGCTCAGATTCCAGCTTGCATATGCCATCAGATGTTAATGAAAAAAGAGTCTCAAATAATAACAAACTGCAAGATTCAACACTGGAAACGCAGGACAAAGCAGCATTAAATACCTCAGACAGTCCAGCAAAAGAGGCTTGTGTTTATAAAGAGATCCCTCAAAAAGAATGTGAAGACACATTAAGGCACAAAAACCAGTTAGAGAAAGTTAGAGAAACTATCCAAGGAGTTTCTGTTCAGGACACTGACTCTGATCAGGCCCCGGATGAAAATGCCAAAACGAGAGAAGAAAACAGTGTGGCAAAAGAGTCAGAAGACAGGAAGGTGGACAAAGAGAGATCCGAAGAGCCGAAGAAATGTCGCAGTTTAAGTGAGGAGAGCAAAGAGACAGTCCAGGAACGAGGCAACAACCACTCCATCACTCCATCCAGCTCTGTGTATGAGGGTGGAAGTGTGATCCGGAGTGCCTCTTTTGGGAAGGCAAGAGTTACAGTATTAAGGACAAGTTTGTAGAGGCAAGAACAGTGGTGACTTAAGGAGCTTAAATGAATGAACTTGGGAAGGACAAGAACACAGTTAAGTGATTCATGGTAAAGGAAAAATGACTAAGGAGGAGGACTTTAAGTCATTGAAGGAATTTGGACCTAACTTTGGATTAGAAAAGGTAAAATGGGAACATACTATAAAAGAAATATGTCATACTGTTTGGTAAACATGAACATTTCCATTAATCATAATATGTGGTTTGAAATGGATGCAGATAAAACAGAAAGTCTTAAGAAGATTTCATGAAAATAAAAACTGTGTATGCAATATATAGTGTTGTTCTTGCAGTTGATGTTAAACACCAAATACCTTATGTATAGTTGCAGTCAAATACATACCAGTATTTGAGGTTAACACTCATTCCTCTCAAAATATGCATCTAACATAACACAGCAATTTTACATGATGGCTGCTTATGGATGGCAACATAACCCTGTTATTGTCACTGTGACTAAATGTGTTTTGTATCTCAAATATCCTGATTAATAAACATGCGTGTGTGTCTGATGAAAAACATTGAGACTCCTGCTCCTGATTTATATGCACAAGATATCACTTTTATGTTTTGCTCTCATTTCGCACATCCTTTTTTTTTTTTTTCTTCTCTTCATTGAAAGTCCCCGTGTGCTTGGGTGCTGCTCTCTGACAAGCCCTGATGCAGAATTACATGGAGCCACTGAAAATGCCTTTGTCACTTTAAATCCTTGCCGTGTCTCAGTCGATGACATCATTGTCTGAGAACACATTACATCACCCCTTCCCAGGCTCTCTCTCTTAAAGACAGCACCACCTTATGTTGACTGAGCTACACACACACACACACACACATATGCGTACACACAGTACATCTGTTTACAAATGTGATATCAATATCAACATGCATATTTATAACAGTCTTTATGAGATTAAATTTTATGCGTGGGCTTGTGAACTTAGTGTGTGCATGTAGTTACATTCAGGACAGTATCCATAAATATGGCCAATTCCACAAATGTATTAAAAAGGCTACAAGTTGGCAATTGTAATAAATGTAATAACAATCACTTTAAGCACATGATTCCATGTTATTGGCGTATTTCCTAACACAACAACACACAATAAAGGCATTACTGAATACACTTTAAATAAGAGCTTGTGCCTTTATTGAAATACAGCATTGATATCTAAAACATACAGTATGCCTGCAGCAGAATTTGGAAAATGTGATCCTCAAAAGGTGGATAACTGTGATTTATGGAAACTACTTCCATGGCATCATTGTAAATAAAGCTTGAGTGATTATTGACATATGCCTGATGGTTGGATCAGAATATTGGATATTATAATAATACTCACATTAGGCTTTTTTTTGTGGTCTGAAGTTGGGCCTATAGAGCATCACCACACACAGATACAGCTTTCATTTGCACAAGCACACTGCAGATGCACTGCTGCTTTATGATGTACAAATGAATTTATCTGCATGTTGTTTATCCCTATCTCTGCTACATGAGTGAAATTTGGCTCCAGCTGCTGCTAAAAAGGGAATGTGGGCAAGTTTAAAAGTAAAATGTCTGTCAGTTTGCACTTGTCCCTGATATAAATACACACTGTATAATTAATCAGGTGTTTGATTGGCCTGCTAGTGCGCGTGAGTGCGTGGCGCGCGCGTAAATCACAGAGATGCGGAGAATGCTGAGAGAATGTTTCTTTAAGACCCATTACCTTCCAATCCGACAGAGGGGGAGTCTGTGGTAAGGTGGCGTATCGTCTCTCTCCGCGTCCCCCTCCTCGCCGTTTACATGTGGAAAAAGAGAGACAGAGGGGGGGGAAAAAAATATATCACATATAGCAAGCTTTACTGTGCTTTCGGATGAGGGGCACGGACACCGAGGCACGATCCGCGGGAGATGGACCTAAGGAATATTTAACATCAAACATGGACACTACAGGCTCCCCGCGATGACTGTGGTAAGGATGCAACTTCACACCGCCCCATCGTAACCCAATTTCCACCGAGAGGGAGAATTCTACCCATCGGAAGACGCAGAGGAGCGACATATGCATGCACTAATATAACGACAAATGCATGTGTGTAATAAGGAGTAGCCTAACATTGTGTTGTCAAGGATTGGGGAGGGGGGGGGTATATGTGTGTGTAGGTGCGCGCGCGTGTGAGTGTGTGTATGTGTGTTTGTGTGCGTGTGTGGAAGGGGAGGGAGGGGGATTACTATTTGAATAGAGGCAAATAGGCTTATATTAGATAGACTATGCAACACTCGGTGCCTATGTCGGTGTCGGGCATTGACAGGTGTGTTGGCAGCACACAGCACGATTTATTTAGGGCGCGCTTGCTCGCTCCCGTTTGCATACAGTTAGGTGAAGCGATAGCTATCTACTTGACAAGAGAGAGAGAGAGAGAGAGAGAGATAGGGAGGGAGAGAGAGTCCTCATAAGATCATAAGATGCCACTGTATATTGGCCTACTATGTGTTGCTTGTAATTAATCATGGCTGTAACTAAGCCCTTTGCCGTTGGGAGCTTTGTAGTCAAACCTCCCAGCTCGTCTCACTGCTGTCACTGGGCCTATATGGAGTTGATTATAATTCTATAATGTCTTAGAGAAGGCAGGCCCCATTACTGAAAATGTGCGATGTGCATTTTTTTGGAGGGGTGGGGGTGGCATTCTTCCTGATGTGATGCTTTCTACAGTCTCAGTCGAGCAGGATCTCTAAACAGTGGATTCATCTTCCTTCTGTTTGCTTCAATGGCCGTTTTAACGCACGGAGGGCCAATTTGGAGATCACTCCAATGCACAAGCCTTTTCTACTATAAGAATGTAGATCTGCGCGTGCGTGCGCGCGCGCTCGCGCAGTCTATCATGGAATGGTCTTTTCCTCCATACATTGAGAAATGGAGGTAGCCATAAGACTAGTCGAGCTGTCATCCGGAGGAGAGCCTCGTCATTTTCCCATTAGCCCAGTGTGCAGTGTGTGGATGCCAGCGCAAATAAAAGCGTGTTAGTCCGGATCCCGGTGCTTTCATTCCCTCTGCCCAGCTGCCGACAATCACTTATCGATTCCAATGATGCGTTTCTTGGCCAGGGGGTACTGTTTCATGGTATTAGGAGGGGAGGTGGAAGAATGGGGAGAGGAAGGGAGTGGGGGGGCGTACATTATCAGTCGCTGCATATATATATATATATATATATATATATAACCCGATCGCTTTCTTTAGTTCTAATTGTCGGCAGCGGTGGGAGCCTGCAAACCCCTCTCCCCGCCCCAGTGTCTGGTGGAGAAGAGCTGTTTTTGCTGCTGCTCCCTCTTTCTCTCTCTCTCTCTCCCTCTCTCACAAACACACACTCAAGGCTATGACATTTTCCTTTGCCCATTTTTCGGAGACAAGGGATGTTTAGTAACATGATACACAGACTAATTGGGGGGCCTTGTCCTAATTGGTCATCTATCAACCAGATACTGTAAAGCCAGTCTGTCCACTCCAGGGTAGGCGACTGCAAGCAGTGTGACTGTGTATGATGATGATGATGATGTGTGCAATCATAATATGAAAAACATCCACATGTGCACAAACACACACACACACACACTTGATCTATTTCAGTGTGGTGACACTGTGACATGAGCTCACCCATTTCACCAATGAATATAATGGTTGATAATGTAGCTCTACATTAGAGAAAATGTTATCACCAGCTTGTTGTTTTCTAGCTGCCTCTCTGCCAGTCCTCACGCGTATTTGTATGGTATTAAGAATGGAAACTAGTCAAAGAAAAGGTCTCTTGATAACTAGTCTGAACTGAACTAGTTTTCTTGTTGTCTTTCTCTCTCTTTCACACATAAACACACAGGATCCTGAAGCCCAGCGACCTCACAGCTGACGCTTCAGTCAAAACTGCAGGCTGCACAGTTAGAATTCTTTGTTTTTCCAGCGCAGACTCATCATATGACACAGTAGGAGTACAGTGAACTATTACTGCGAGCTGTGGAGTGATTGTTACAATATATACAATATTCTGCAGTAATTACATTACCCTGTTTTCTGCTGCCCCTGCTGAGCTAATGAAGAGCTGCTGGTATTGGCAATGAGTAATTCCAAGCTTATCCGAAGCTGAGTGATTGAACGTTTTTCTTACAGGCCACCCTATACTTAGTATTTCAGGTGTTTCAAGATCCTGTACCAACTCCAATCAGTTTGGATCACAAAATAACAACCAGGAGCTGTTGTAGTGTTTGGTCTACAAGAACCTGCAGGAAGCTGTCTTCCATCATAGGTACTAGTACCTATGTACTATATAGTTTGATCACTGAGTATTCTTTAAAGAGGTAAATAAGTGACACATTCAGACCTGAGTCTTCCATTTAGGGTAGTGGTGCCATCGTCAAATGTGTCCCTCCACAAATATATTTTTTTCCCACAAAAACTAATAGATCCTAATAATTAACATAACTAAACATAAATAACACCATTATAACTGGAAAATCTATTTGTTTATTCCAAAGTCAGTTTTTTTATCTCATAGGTCTTAGCTTGAAATATATTAGTTTGGCACCTACAAATCACCCCTTGAATCAGAAAAAAACATCAATTGTCTTAGTGCTACACAGACCTTTAGTGTGATCTACTTCAGTCAGGTGTCTTCTATGTAAGCTTTTCACACCTAAAGGTGTTCTGTGTCTCTGAAGCATTGTTAAATTCATGCTGCATTTGAGTTAAAAATACACCTTTGACATTTCATGATGCCTGGGCACTCCTTTGTTAACATATACAGCATGGTGTTATGATGTTATTACTGTATATGTGGCCATCAGTGTGCCAGAGACATTTGAAACATTTCTTAAATCTGATTACATTACACGTTACATTGAACTCTTAAACTGTGTTTTAAGGAATCGCAGTGAATGCCAGCTCAGTCTTGCATCAGCGATTATCCATCAGTAGAGCGGGAGAGGAAGTAAGTTGTTTTTTAGTGGGACATACAGTGAGGTTGCCAAGTACTCTAGCCAGCTCACCAGCATGAGGAGCTAATTCAGTATCTGTATCAGGCCTCCAATTACCAGCTAGCAGTCCCCATCTCTGGTCTTGGACATCCATATAATAATGATGAGAAAACTGGCAAGACTTGTTTTTTGCTGGTGCAGCGGCCTGCCTGTGTGCTAAATATGTTTGATTAACAAAATGGATGATTTTGGTTGGATAAAAAACTCTTTACTGCACTGCCCAGTCTCACTGACGTAAAGAAGCCTGCATGGGGCACTAAATCAGTCCAAACCACTTAAAAGTATAAAGGCCAGTGCAAGCCCCTGAGTGTTATAGACTAGACAGTGAAGAATATGGGAGGAAAGAAGAGAGGGACACAAGGCACTATAATAATGTTGATTGCCTGAATCCACCATTTTGGCCCACAGTCTGCAGTATGAGCCAGAGGCCTTATCTAGTTAAAAAGGTCATTTAAGACATACAGATGATTTACAACAAAACTGATTAAAGGAAGAAACTTTGTAGAGTGACATC